ATACCCGCTTTTGAGAGCCGATAAATGAAGGACCTTTAACCAGGGATCATTGCCGCGGGCACAAAGGCCATTGCATGGAGTCCGTTCTTCGTGGCGTCGATGCTATAAACGATGCTGAGGGAGGAAGTACGGTGGCGAACAAAGCTGTGCAAATGTTCAGTGGCGGTGGTGGTGTGGTGGTGGTGGTGTGGTGGTGTGGTGGAACAATGGCGAGGGGGTAGGTTTTGTTTGAGTTTGATCCGGTGTGACTTGCCCGGCACAGACGCAACTGTTCCGATGAAAGAGGATCCTATACGGTCCCCGAATTGTCACCCACTAGCACCGCCACCACCAAACGCAATCGGCGTTGTCGATTGCCGATGGTGATAAAAATTTAAGGCGAATTTTTCACGACTGGATTCGGTTAATTTGTTGGATAGATGACTAGTGAATCACCGCTAGAAGTCGGACCAACCAGAATCAAGTACAGTGAAAGCTCGCGAAGTCGAACTTAAGCGACAAAAGCGCGCGACTTAAGCGTGAAAATTCGACTTAAGCGGCAATTCGTCTTAACCGATTCTCCACTTAACTTATGGAAGTGTCTAGGGACCGAAAAAAATCGACATAATTGGCATTTCGCCTTAACCATAGTTCGACGTGGAGAGCTTTTAATGTATCTAATTTTCTACCAAATCCTGAAGAAAACCAGCCAAGTCAAAGATTAGGTTAAAAAAAACGCGCTAATTGACCACTAAACCAGGACTCAATATACGATGTGATGACGCCACAAACCGAATTTTTCAAAGCGCGATATCCCGGTTAATATTGGACGTAAAAATTTGCTGTTCGGACAGCTTTCGTTAATTTTCGCTAATCTGCAAGAATCAAGCATAAAAACACGATCCTGTGACCAGCGCAACTGACCCATTCATGTTTCTTTTTTCGATTGATTCATGGCGATCGAATTCATACCCTCCGAAAATGATTAGAAATTGGAATTCCGCTCCTTCCACCCTCATGAAGAAAAGAGAATATTGGTGACGTATGGTGGCAACGCAGGACGGGATCGCCTCGAGATTTGGAATCAGTTGCGGTGTCAAATAGAGAGACAACTGAATCTCGGTCTCCTTTTTGATTTTGCCCTTTGTGTCACACGTCCTCCTGTTGGAGCTATTCCGGTCCGGAAAGCTCCGCCCGATATACTCCCACCGCGGCCCAAATGAGCGATCCTCGGCCAATTCGAAAAGACCGTCAAAGAAAAGCACCGTTGAAAATAGGGAGAAACCCGAGCTTAGCTATATACAAGGTCAGCACAGCGGCACTGAGTCAATAGCATCGCGTCGAGTCGTTCTTTTTGATTTGGGTTTAATTTGTATCTTTATGGCCAGGTGTATTTTTTAAATAGTTGGTCAGTTCACTGGAAAAAAAAAACACATTGGATCTAGAGTACAGACTCATGGAAAAATTGACAAGAAAAGATACTCTTGATTCAATCAGATTTTTGCTTAAATTAAAAAGGAAATCCGCTCAAATTAAGAGGCTTGGTTCTTGATTTAAGCAAAAATCCGATTCAGTCAAGATTATTTTTTCTTGTCGATGTTTTTAGGAGTCTGGACTCTAGATCCAATGTGTTTTTTTTTCAGTGTTAAGTGCTTTCTGCTCTGAATAATGAAGTTTTCCGATCATTATTTATTATGATATATAACTTCGTGCTTGTATGGATGAGTCAGAAATGGTGGTTCTTCAATGATGAATGAAGTCAATATTAAATTTATTAAAGAATATTAGAGTCAGCCCTTACTCTTTTGTCAAATTATTTCAAGTTCATCATAAAACGATGGTAGATTCTGAAAATACTCAAATACACAGATTATAAATATTTTAAAAAAAGGAGTCGTAAGACAGGAGAAATAATGGGTAATTCCAAAACGTAGAAAAGTATTACATAGAGCCAAAATGAAAATAAATGATCTACTTTTTAAAAAGTACATAAGTATTCAACGTCCAAATTTGAACAATGGTTCAATTAATCTAATCTTCATATGAAGCGGAACTCATTATTTTTCAGGATTTAAGAAAATTTATTGAAACTAATCCCGGGCCTAATATTGAATTCCTGAGAACCTCAGGGTAATTACAGTTAACTTGTTAGGAAGCAAGTCGTCATATACGTCTCACTCCCGATGCTAAGTGTCTTCCAGGGGGAAATTTAGATATTTAATACGACTCCTTTTTCCTCTTTTTTCGATTGAGCACAGGAGAGAATTTCATGAGCCGCCGCCTGCGGCGCACTATGGTCCAAAACTCGAGAATAGGAAGAAATATGTCGGATAATGACTGAAAGATCACGAGAGTTTCGTCTCTGATGATTTGTGAGTCGCTAATTTCGAATTTGATGTCAAATTGCCTACATTTTAACACCCTGACCTATTAATTCTGGGCAAGTTTATGGCACGCTGCAGCACGGCGTGTTGCCAGCTCGAAACGCGCACTGACGCCTACAAACCTAAAGGGATACTTCAAGCATGGCGCAATGCGTGAAGTATCCCCTTAGGTTTGTAGGCGTCGGTGCGCGTTTCGAGCTGGCAGCACGCCGCGGCTCTCCCGGCGGGCGGGTGGTGAACGATTTCATGCGGGGAAAGCTCCCAGGCGGAGAAACTCGTGTATCGTGTAAAATTGTTTTGTTTTTAATTTTTTGTTTTCAATTTTCAACTTTTAAAAATACACATTGGTCGTGTGAAGTAATCAGTGAACTCTCAAAGCTAGATAAAGTGTAATAATGAAAGGCGAGTCGTGCGCCATGCGAGCTGCGGACGGCGCAGGGCGGCTCATGAAATTCTCCCCTGTGCTCTGTCGCTCTTTTTTTAAAACATGTTTATATAACAATTAGGTACATAACTATAACAAATTATATTGTTACACCTGTGTCTATTTACCATAATCTCAATTTAACGTGTTCGATAAAACCTTAAAGACTTAAATATATCTAGTCAGAATTGACTTCGTTAAAATGCGATATTTACTTTCGATAAATATTGTTAGATTTATTCTGTTGTATTAATCTGTATATACGAATCTCATAACATCCTCTTGGTAGAAAAGCCACACATGTGTAGTGGTTAATTGCTCGAATGAGTGATTCTTGACAACCGTGACTCAGTAGAATGGCTGTGCGCAAATTATTAATTTGAAAAAAAAGGAAAATATTAAATTTAACACATTGACTTGAGCAGTTTTTCTCGTAAAAGGTCCTGTCAACCTCATCGCCGAGTCTCGCTCCGTTGCTCCTCTGACACAGAGGCGTATCTCAATTTCTACATGAGCCTCGTCTTACATGTAAATCCATGTTTAATAGAGCTCATGCGGAAATCGAGGTGTGCCCTTACGTCCAGAAAAAGGACGAGTTGAACTTGCCTCCAGGAAAAAATTTCATGGCATAAACGACACGGAAGGGGGGAAAAAGAGCCGACTGAAGCAAAAACAATAAGCAGCAGAGTTCCTGTTAACTCTTACAATGCTTGAAAAATTAAATTGTAGAGATATGTAGGCAGCAGAATGCACAGTCCGTTCAGGTTAGAGTTTTCCACATTAAACACTTGGACAGAACGACGCGACGGTGATTAATGGAATCCTTTGATTATTTTTTTAAACTTTTTGCGCGTGTCATGAAAACTCGCCGCTTTCATCCCTTTTTATCTCGCTGGTTATAGAACGTCTGTTCAATCTCTCCCCCGTTCGCTGGATCCGTTTTCGCAGTTTTCTTATTTTAAGCGTCGATTCTTTTTTGATCAACACAGCATGCAAGCACGCAGTAATAGCGTATGTTTTTGTTGAGCTCTAGTTACTTAAAAAATGCAGTCTTTATTGAGGTATCAGCCTTGAATATTTGTTGTACAGATTTTCTTATACTAGCGAGTAGCTCATTTGGGGATGTTACTGAATGAGGATGTTGACTTACTCTCCTCAAATGAGTTACTCGCTAGTATGGGAAAATTCACACAAAAAATATTCATGACTGAAACAGACCTCAGTAACGACTGCATTTTTTATAAATGACAGCCATAAAAATTGTTCGGTAGTTAATTAGTTAGTTGGTTAATTTAAAAAGACAATCAACAGCTATAGCTATTTGTGTTAGAGTTAAGGAAAATACATTAAAATTTTGAGATTTAGTGGCAAGGCAAAAATGTAACATTTCTTTTGAGATTTAGTGGCAAGGCATAATAATTTAACATTTCAGTAGTGACTTTCGGGTTATCAGATTTTAAAGGAAAGGAGGGGTGTTCGGAGGGGGATAATTTTCAACTTTGAAGCGTTCAGTATTGGTTTTTGGGGGGAAAAAGTGTACAGTCGAATGTTAGGGGAGAACATTGACAGTGGTTCATACGATTTCCATCGATATATTTTCTAAAAACATCAGTCATAAATTAGCTCACTGCTTAGTCATCTAAAGAGAAAAGGAGAGGTGCGGAAGAGATATGCTGTAGAGAGGGATGAGAAAGAATGGGGGAGGGAGATGATAGCTTATCACATCACTTATTAGGAGTAAAAGACACTGATCCCACTTTGTAGTTTTAAAGTAGAGAGCTCGCTGTTTGTTCCCCACTCCTTTACTATCAAGCATTCGATATTGAGCTGTATCCTATTGAGTTCTTACCCCTCGCCGCCGAAATTCTCATGCCACGCTTCTATTTTACCAATAAAGCTTCCTTAGTATCCCGGGAAAGATGAATACGGGAAAGGGAGAGAAAATTTTCGGGAATTATCGGGGAAGTTCTCGGGAACGCCCCGGGTGTCTCTTCAAAGCATGAGTGATTACCGTGTATGTGTTCGTGTATAACTGTGATTTCCCGGAAAGTTAGATTTTATCCAGAATTACCTAGGAACGGGACATCCCGTTTGATCTCCCTTCACGCCCTACCTGCTCCTTTCAGACCTACTTAGACTGATAGATTTCAATGTGCCACATATGCATACACTTTTGAATTTTGTTTGGGTGATTGTTGACTGATTTTGCGCAGCTTTTTTCCAGATGAGGAAAAGATAACATAGCGGAGCAGGACATGGAGGTTAACAGCTCGGATTATGAGCTCGGCGCCACTGAAACTGCGGCCGATGACCTTTATGATCCAGAACCAATCGCTCAAAATGAGTTCGTCAACCAGACTGATTTCAATCAGACGTCACCGATCTACTCCATTGGGACCGACTTCCTCTCAGAATGGTAAGTTTTTAGTGCACCTGATACATTCTTCATTCATATCAAACCTGGTAGTCCGAAAACCCGATGGAATTTTGTGACAAACTGCTGACACAAGTTATGACCACTTAAATCAACAGCCTTATATGTTCTGACACTGAAAAGGATCATTCGCCACGTTGTAATGTGTGCTAACATGTGGCAGACAACCATTTTCCGTGTCAGTTCAGACTTGAGTATGGTCAAATTTGCGTCCCGAGCTTGTCACAAAATATCGTCGGGCGTCAAATACGCATAACTATGCATAACCACCCTTAATACTTCTCAATGAGTCACTGAATCTTGTATTTTTTATTAATTCTGCTGAAAATACGAGGTGGGTAGATTACTGGTGCTTAAAAGCGTATTTTTGGAGGCAGAATCCTGGATAAGCCCGCTTTCAAAAAGTCCGAAGACTCGAAGGAATTTAAAATGCACCGGAATGGCGGGAAAATGATGGATGGGATGATAACGGCAGTTAAATCGCTATCTCTTCTCATTTTCCACAAATATTTTTTAAAATAAAACGTATTTCAATGTAGAATTGTGGCTTATTTACTACAGATAACATGGATGAGATTCGATTTTTTTATTCTGAAGATATGGTTTTGACATTCGTATTGTTTTTTACGAGGATTAGAAAGACATTTGACGGAAATCGTAAAGACCCGAGCTTGCCTCTGATTGGTGCCGAATGACATCATTCGATTCGGCGCGAAACTGAAGTGCTTTAAATTTGCGGAAAAGTTGAACTTTTCAAACTGCGTTTTTCTCGGTTTCTGAGTTACTTACAATATAACTGAAATCATGAAAAAAATATGAAATTTATAACATGGTAATTTTTGTCTTAGATTCAGTTTTCAGCGAGTAAAATGGAAACGGTTAAAGGATAAACAGTTTTTTTTCCAAGACAAAAAAAGTTGCACAATCTTAGCAACATTGCAATGCTCACGGTTTGTTTTTGCAAAATGCAATCCATATGTGCTTTCATGGGAGAGCCAGAGATAGTGGTTCCTTGTTGCAAAATGTAATCCAATTCAACTTTCTACATGTAGGAAAACCAATTGTTGCTTCTGAAATGAGCCAGAATCACTGGTTTCTTGTTGCAAAATATAGTCCAAGTAATAATCGGAAAATCCCTTCAATTCCCATAATATCCTCTAACTCCACTCAACGAGACGACGCACTATGGTCCGAATAGCCGGTTTAAGCGGCAATAAATCGAAAAAGTGAAGTTCGGAAAAAGTTAGATTTTAAGCGGTAGATCGATAGTACATACTGTAGAGAAGACTCCTGTAAAATTTCACTTCGATTAAAGCACTAATAAAGATGTGACAAGCCTGGGAAGTGCGGCGCGCGGAGCACTTTATGAGTGCGATTCCAGTTACCGCGCGGCAGTGCTGTGTTTAAGGGCTTGTTTTCGTCGTTTCACCTTACCTGAAAGTGTTTGGGCACTTTACTCACAAAATATAAGGTAAGTTTAAAATGTTTTATGCTGAAACTATTCTTTTTTATCATATCTAATGCTCTAGATTAACCCTTAGACATAGTCAGTTTTATCAATAAAATCGCAGAAGTAGGACCCAAAAAATATACTTAGCACCTCTGAGCACCTCGTAATTTTACTCGGAAGTTATTGTCATGACTCTAGACTACCTT